TTGCAACCCTTTCAATACAGTTCCTCATGTTGTGGTGATCCCCAGCCATAAAATTATTTCTGTTGCTGCTTCATAACTGTAATTTTCTTACTCTTATGAATCATAATGTAAATGTCTTCGCTTTCTGATGGTCTTGGACCCTGAGGAATCGTAACCCACAGGTTCAGAACTGGGAAGAAGCTACCCTCTCCATAAAACCCCAATACTTATTTTGCCTTTCTGGAAGTTGGTTGACTGTGATTTATTTAATGCCTCTAGACTCTGAGCATTACCTCCAGGCACTTCCCCTAATTGTCCAGTCTGGCCTGGACAATTAAGGAAATTGTCTTCCGGGTGCACACAACACATGTATTTGCAAAGGCATCACCAACTGAACTCTGCCCCCCTTAGACCTCCAGACCTGGCTGTAAACCCTGTAAATGGGCTATGCCTTGGCCTCCTGGCATCCTCAGACCGCTCTCCTGCTGGGTTACAGGAGCATCTGCATGTAACAGGGTTCTGCACCAGTTAACAACTATTACCAACTGGTTTGTATGATAACATGATGAAAAGCAGTATTTCTTTTAATTTCCCAACAATGAAACGGCACAGCAAAGAGTCGGTGGGGTAGAAGCGGTGATCAGCCTGTTGGGATTAACAAGAAGGACTGCTTGGAGGAGCTGGCACGTGAGTACATTCCTGAGCCCCAGGTGTAAAGTCTTAGGAAGCCTGGCCCGTTGTCACTGATGTCTTGAACAGCGATGGGCAGGTCACACAGCTTCCAGAAGTACCCCTCACATTGCTTTCCATGGATTCATCTCTCTGAGGGCTCAAGGTCTGTCCAGCCTGTCTTTCCATCTTCTCTAATTCCCAGGTTTTTCCTACTTTGTCCTTCTGGTGAGGGACCTTCGCCTCTCTTCCATGGTATCCTGTGTCGACCGCTGTTGGAATTACAGTCTCCTCAGAGCACAGTTCTGTTGTTTCTGGAGACTCTGAATGTTCACTCCCAGAAGGCACTGTTAGAAAAGCCAACGAGTCATGTTCAGTAATCAGTACGTAGAAAGGTGATGAAAACAGCTGAGAGAAAGAACTAGGGTAAGGAACAAGAGTTTCAGAGCTCTATGTGCATGTGTGCGTGTGTGCGTGCGTGCATATGTATGTGTATTGCAGTGTGTGGAGACCACAGGACACTTTGTCATTTTTCTTTAGTCACTATTACCTTTTTTTTTTTTCAAGACAAGGCCTTCCTCTGGCTTGGGGCTCACTGATTAGGCAAGCTGGCTAGGCAGCAAGCCCCTGAGACCCAGCAGTCTTCACCGCTCCAGCACTGGGTTACAGTGTGTGCCACCATGCCCAGCCTTTGTATGTGGAGGTTGACCCCAGGTACTCAAACTTGCACTGCTAACACTTTGGTGACCGATTGATTCCCAGGATGATTTTAAGCACTCCTGTATAGTTCAAGCGTCTCATTAGTGCATGACGTCCTTTCTGTACTGGTGTGATGTGTGATTCCCCTCTGTATGCTGTGAATACCTTTGATTAATAAGGAAACTGGCTTGATCTGATAGGATAGAACAGAGTTAGGTGGGGAAAACTAAACTGAATGCTAGGAGAAAGAAGGGTGGAGTCGGAGAGAAGCCATGGAGTCAGACATGTTGGAACCTTGTCTGTAGACCACGAACCTCGTGATAAAATATAAAATAATGGAAATGGGCTAAATTAAGATGTAAAAGTTAGCCAATAAGGAGTTAGAGCTAATAGGTCAAGCATTGATTTAATTAATATAGTCTCTGTGTGGTTATATTGGGAGTCTGGGTGTCTCGGAAATGAACAAGTGGCCTCCTACTACACCCAGGAGCCACCTTCCTTGATCCTTAGGTGTGACTCTCTAGCCTCTTCCTGCTGTATAATTTGTCCTCACTGAGACAACTCAGGAATTTTGTTTTCAAACCCAAGGCCACAAGCTACTTGGCACAGTCTCTACCTACCGTAGTCCTGGGCACCAATTCCAGTCCCTCAAAAGCAGTCACCTTCTCTGTGTCCTATCTAGTGACTTGTGGACGCATAGGGGGAGCCAGTGTAACCAAGGTGAAAGTCTCACTTACCCACGTGGAATGTGTTGAGTTGGGTCCTTGGCCTCTCATCCTAAATTGAGACATGAAGTCCTAGGCCCCTAGCATGTCACAAGGTGACCATCTTTGGGGTGGGAGCAGCGTTCTGTCTATCATTGCTTTCTGCTGTCCCCTTCCTTTGTAAGCTCTACCCATTCCTGTTACCACCTCTCCTGGGGTTCCTCTACTAAAGTCCGTAGTATAACCTGTCTTTGAAACCATAGTCTATGTACGCCCACAGCCCTTGGCCCTAGACTCCTAATTGTGAGCATGAAGCCCCCTAGTTCCCTAATTCGGCCAGAGTGAAGGTGCGGTAGGCTCAGAGACAGTGCCTTCTGCTCTGGCTGCTCTCCTCACACAGGATCCATCATGGGCCCAGAGGTGTAGAATTTGCTCCATGGAAGTACAAGTTCTCTCTTGGAGTAGTTGAGCAGCAAAGTGCACACTCACTTTCCCTTTTTGCCCATGTAGAGCAGAGGCAAGGCTGTGCTTAGCTGAATGGTAAGACGCTGAGTTCTCAAGTCCCTGTCTGCCAATGAGCATCCTCCCCAAACACAGCTGGTGAGGCATGACATCACATTCTTATGTGACCTTCCATCAAGATGGAAAGCAATAATCCAGACATACCCTGACAACCTCTAGCAACTCCAAGGGAGGGTGAGGATGCTTTAGCTCTGCTTCTGTGACATCTGCTGGCCTCATGGCCTTCAGGACTGGGAGGACCTTAAAAGCTCATGTTGTTTGCTACAGATTGTAATCTAAAGAGGGAGATGGGAGGCTCTGCTCTTACATCATCCTGGGTCTTGGCACAGGTTGCTTCAAAACAGAGCTCCTCCAAACCCACTTATGCAGACATGTTCCTGTATTCTCATAGATGTCAAGTCCCATTTGGAGTGGGGGGCTATTAGCCTTCAGAAACAGGAGGCTTTCATTCTGAAAAAAAATTAATCTTTCACAACTAGACAAACATGTCAGCCTACTCTCTTTTGATTTTGAACATCATGCTTCTACTTTATGTAGCCTAGACTTCATGATGAACAGTTTAAAGGGGGAAAGAGCTTGTGCCATGGAGTCAGACATCGCTGAGTTCATGAGATAGATCTCTTCTGCAGCCGTATGACCTTTGGGAAGAAAAGGAATGTTGTCTCATAGGCTGGAAAGAACATGAATGGGTATGGTATGCATATTGCCTAGCATGGGGCTTGGCATTTAACAGGCCCTGAAGGTAAGTTTCTTATTTTCTCCGTCCTTTCCATCCTAGCACCGCAATTTCATGCTAAATAAAAAGGAACGGAATCTGAAAATACTAACCAGGCAAACATTGTAAGGTTGTTTGCATTTGGGAACAAAATGTGAAAGATTGTAATTTGCTAAAGATTGTTTCTTAGTGTTCTTGGGCTGCCAGAATAAAGCACTAGTTACTAGTCTGGATGGTTTAAACCACACACATCTATTATCTCAGGATGCGATTTATTTTGTGAAGGCTGGAAGTGAAAGATAAAGGGGCTGACTGCTTGTTCCCAGTGAGGCGGATTGTCTCCTTTACTCCAAGCCTTCATATGGCAAAGGGAGAGTAGAGAGAGGGAGAAGTTGAGAGGGGGTGAGGAGGAGAGACAGAGGAGAAAGGAGAGGGGGGAGGAGAGAGGAAGGAAGGGGAGGGAGGAAGGGAAGGAAGTAGGAAGGAAAGTGGAGAGGAGAGAAGGTGAGGGGAGAGGAAGAAGAGGGGGAGGTGCTATTTGTAGACATGACAGTGTGGGACACACAACCCTTGTGCAGCCTGGAGGATGAGGATGAGTGACCTTACTCTCATGCAGGGACCTAAAGAACCCCAGCAAGGAGAAGCAAATGCAGATTACTTTTGTCATGTCAATCACATCTCATTTAGATGGGAGATGGAAAGCCAGGAGACAGGATTTTGCTTTAAAAAGGCCCCGGATAATTTCTGGAAGGAGTAAGGTTGATTGTAGTGGCATTTCAAATGTATTTTAATAAATAAAGTTTGCCTGAAGATCTGAGAGTCAAACAGTCCCACTGGTCAGCCTTACAGACCAGGTAATGGTAACACACACCTTTAATCTCAGTAGCCATAATGACACGCACCTTTAATCCCAATAGCCACATTAGTTGCCATAGAAACTGGGCAGTGCATGCCTTTAATGATGGTGGTGCACACCTTTAATCACGGTGGCACATGCCTTTAATCCCAGCCGTAGAGAGGATTATAAAATGGAGGGAAAAAACAGCTTTCAACACATAGTCTTATTCTGAGATTCCAGGAGGCAAGATTACCATTTTGGACTGAGGTTGAGGTAAGAGCCTGTGACTGACTGTTTTGCTTTTTGGATCTTCAGGTTGAACCCCAGTTTCTCTCTCTGAGATTTTATTAATTGTGCTTCAGGTGATGGTAAAAGTCCAACCTCAGAAAGGCTCCAAAGGTGGCTTGTCACAGAATCAGAACTGAGAAGCCTCTTCTGCATCAGGACCAGCTATCCATACCCCCAGTGTGAAGAAAGACCTGGGAGTGATGCTGGCCAGGCAGCGCTCTTGGGGACTGAATTGGATGTTGACAAGATAACACAAATGTAGCAACTGTATGAATGGAGAGCAAATATTACTTCATTTCTGAGATGAACGTCAAATCTAGATCTTGGATTTGTTATCCATATTTGGGTGCTCATAGTCTACCTCAATAGGGTCCTTGAGGCCACCCAACCAAGAAAGTCTGGGTATGCTCTGTAACCTTGGCTTGACCTACAACACCATGCTCAACTGAACAGGTAGAGGAGAAGGCCACCATGGACTTCTGAAAGTACAGGGGTGATCCCTCACATGAAGACAAGGCAGAACCTGGGTCCCCTCCTTTTCTGCCCCATCCTAGGGTAAGCAGTCAAAAGAAAGAGAGAGAGCCTGTAAGGGGAGGAATCACTTGTGTCCAGTTTATTTTCCTTTCAAAGTCAAATCAACTTTATTGAGATACAATATATATAACAAAGCACACTGACTTTAAGCATACAATTTTTGAGTCCTGATGAATGAACACCCCTACAACTATCCTCACAACCAAAATACGGTCTACTTCCATCATCCCTAAGAGTTCTCGCTGCCTCCCAGAGGTAAATAAATCCCTCTGCAAACTCCAATCCCTAGCAGCCACAGCCTGCTTCCTGTCCTTGGAGGAAAGTTTTATCTGCTCCAATGTTCCATATGAGCAAGCGCTCTGTGTTCGGTTCTTTCCCCTTAGTGGCGTGAAATACTTGTGTCCACTGATGGCTGGTGGTCTGAACATGGGGCACAGCTCAAACATTTGTTTAACCACTTACCTATCATGGGCACTCGAATGACTACTTGAAGATTCTTTTCTATTATGAAAACTACTGGTCCCTTTCTTTAACCTCAAAGCTAAGTCTTTCCCATTCCTGCAGATGAGACAGGAGAGAGGCTGAGCGCCATGTTCCACACAAGCTAGTGTGTTTCAGAATCAGAGGGATTTTTAGAAGGTCAGATGCAAGTTTATGCCTGCAGAGTTCCTGAATCGACTGATGGGGGGCAGGCCAAGAATGCGATTCTAACAACTGATGCTGCCATTCTGGGGAACACCTGGCGTTGATGGCCTTGTAGCATCCTTGAAGAACAAGAGATTATGTGACCCTGGTGTGAGCCTGTACTCATCTCAAGCCTCACTTATACACAACTCTATTTACCATTCAGACAAACATAAGCTTTATTGAGGTGTCGGTGATACCATAATTCAGTTGTTTTAACTATAAAACTCAAGACATTTTAGTACTTCAGGAAGAGCCCTCACACCGAGTTGAAGTAAATCCTTGTCTCCACCTCCCCCAGCCTCAGATAGCAATCGACCTCCTGTTTTCACACATTTGCCTTTCTGGACAGTTCAAGTAAAAGAGAATAGTGGGCTTTGTGCTTGGCATTTAAAATGCGATGTTCTTAGAGATTCCTCCCATTGTGTTCAACAGCCCTTTATAGAGCACGCCGGGTAGTGTTTCATCTGACCAGGTAGCCATACCTCTATTCATGAGATATACTCATTTTGTTCAGGTGTTCATCCGCTCATGGCCGCTGGGCTTGTTTCCTAGCAGTTATGATTGATACTTAGTGAGCACGTATATGCACGCCCATGGCTAGATGTAGATTTTCATTTCTCTTGAGTCTAGATTTATGAGTTGCATTGTGGCCACATGGTAAATTTATATTCAATATTTAAAGAAACTGATAAACACTTTTCCAGAGTGGCCGCGCCGTTTTGTATTCCCACCACCAATGTGTGAGCATTCTACAAGGCTCTCTAGATTCATTTTATGTGGGGCATATGAGAGAATTTGAGCTCCACCATTGGGCTGTGTTGAGGACTCTATTTGAAATACCGTTCTGTGACTACTTATACAGTAGCAAAGTATAAGACGGTCATCATCAGTTTTCACACTGGCTGCACATAAGAATCACCTGGGGACCCTTTCCTAGTGAAGGCGAGGTACAGATCAGGTCCTGAAAACAGTGAACATCCACTGTGGATGTCAAACAGGCACTGGGCTTTAAAAACTGCCCGGTGATTTCTGTGAATCAGCTGATAACCGCCAATGAAAACAATCCTCTTTCTTGTTGGGCCACTCAATGAGATAACGAGGCACACACTTAAGAGCTGAAGAAGGACGTGGTCTACAGGACACACTGAGTGGGACTGGGGATAGTTTACGGCCATGGAAAGAACAAGGGATGGACTGTCTGGTCCATACTGGCGTCTGCGATTAGCCCCTTATAAGTTTCCTGATAGCAGTTCAACCATCTGGACATGAAGCAGAGGAGAACTGATAACTGAAGGGTGTGGGATTAAGGCTAATGCGGAAGTCTGTTTGTTTCCAACACTTGAGCTGTTTAAAGTCAGTGGATAGCCAGAAAAGCAGGGGCAGGGGTGACTGGTGGCTGGCATCTGTCAGGGAGGAGTTGTCCAGACCCAGGTAGAAACACCCCACTTTCATTCTTGCAGTGGCCTTTCCCTTGCTTCCAACTGAACACCGTCCCTGCTTTGCAGAGACAAGCAGGATTTCCAGGGAGGTCCTTTCTCCCCCTCCTGTTGGCTACATTGAGAGTTTCTGGATGGTGCGCCACCCTCAGCCCCTAGTTCATGTTCTTCCTTAGCAATTTGCTCTGGGCCCCATGGCTTACACCGCTGCCCTTAATCTGAGGAGTTCCTTGATCCTTTTGTTCGCTCCTGACCTTCCTTTGTTTCTTCACTGATACTAAATAGGCTTGGCACAGGGTCCTCAGGCCCAGCTAGACTGGCCTCTGCATCTAGGCAGGCATGCTGGCCTTACTGTGGCCAGCTTTGTCCCCTGACTTTTCTATGGCTTGTCCTTGCCTTTCACCTTTCCGTTCACATTTCATTCCGCGGGGCCTCTTTCCCGACCGCCGTGTTCAGACTGCTTTCCATTCTGAGCTCTTTCCTGAGTGTGGACTTGCACCCATCCAGGTGATCCTCTGTTGTCCCTGTCCGCGCACACTGGGCTCCAGGCGACAGCGGAGCAGGACTCAGCCCCGGTTTTGCCTGAGTTTCATCCCGGCTTTAGCCGGTGCTCAGATTATTCTTTTGTTCCTAGGACCCACAGGATTGGAGTGGAAAGGCGTATTAGACTAGACATCCTCTGCGCCAGCATTGTCTACCTGAGGAAACCATTATCTAAATGGTTAGAGGAGGGGTTGGTGCAGGGCCGTAACGCTGGCAGATGGCCCAGTTGGTACAAATCCTTCTCTCTGGGCCACTGATCTTTCCACCCCACGGAGCCACTAATCAGAACGGATACTGCAGTAACGTTCTCTGCTCTCCCTCTCCTTCTCTTAAGTGAATCTTAAGAGCTGTGGGTGGTATTTAAACTGCTTTTGTGTGTGTTCTGTTCAATAACAAACACCAAACCATTGGTGCCAGACAAAATTAGTGTCTTTGAAGAAAGGGGTTGATGCCGTTTTAAGGACTCCTATCTCATCATCTCACACAGGCACCTGACAAACCTGGCCAGTGAACTCCAGGGCAACTCCTCCCCTGAACCTCCCAGGCTGAAGCCCAATCAAGAGAAAAAGTATGCAAAAGGCTCACAAACCTCATGCTTCCTCTCTGGAAAGCGTGAGCTCACTAGGGAGAGCTGCAGCCCCGTGTCCTTCGTTGCAGCAGGTGATCATTTTCTGCTCCCTCAGGTCGGCCTTTGATTATCCAAACTGATTGGGACGGTATCCCTAGGCGGCTTTCTCTGGCTTTCTTTGCGCAGAATAAAACACGGCGCGCCCTCTGGTGGTCAGCAGTAGAAACGTCTCGAGCGGGAGCAATGCATTCCGTAGATGAGAATCCCTGAGTTCCCTGACTCCCCTCATCTCAAAAGTCGTTAAAACCACCGGAACAAAATGGTTTATACCGCTTTATAACTATCAAATCTTTCTGAAGCTATGCTTATTCTTTTACAGCCCCTGTTGCCACAGAACCGTGAACATGGTGCAGAGTGCAGGTGCGCCTAAAGTCTGTTAATCTGGCGCACAGTGAAGAGGAGAAAGGAGGATCTGAGCGAGCCATGAACATGGCTTCTCTAGGAGGAATTCTGAGCTCTATTAGATAGCTCTGGGCTATCGAAACAACCAAAAGGGCAAGGCGAGTCTCCTGAGTGTAGTGCTGGGACCAGGGGCCTGGGACGAGGGCAGGTAATGGACTGTTGGTAATTGCTAAGTTTGGGCTATTCACACACCTATACGGCTCGAAGACAGAAGAAGGAAGAGAGCAAGAGAAAAGTGGATGACATATTTGTAATATGTATTAGTGTTCAAACTCTCTCACCAAGCAACCATGTTAAGAAATACAAATTGTGCTTGAGGCAGGAGGAGGTCTGAGCTGGTGGAATGGGCTGGTCATCCCTGACTGGGCACCAGCAATTGGGCTTTTTAAGAAAGAAAACAATGTTATTTCATTTCCTTTTCTCAAAAGACTGGAGCTATCTCTTTTTGCTTAGCCCCTAACTTTTCATTAAAAAGTCTGGATTGTGCTGTTTTATTAATTTTTATACTTAGTTTTATGATAATGTCCTAGGCCTTTAAAAAATAAAGCAAAAAAGTCAAAATTTCTTCAAAACCTTTGAAAATACAGGTTTGAAGGAGCTAAAACTCAATGTTAGTCACTTTCGGACGGCAATCTGGTCACAGGTTCATGCTCTGTGCACAGTTGATCACCAGTTACACCTGGTCACTCCCACTCCACTGGGAACACGACAGAGTTCAAAAGAGGGAGGGATGTTAAAACCACATTTAATTTTGAATACAAGTCTGTAATGATCTGCAGAAGTGACTTCATGCATAGAGACATTTAGCATCTCCAGCTGGAAGAACAGAAACTACACATGTATTTATTTTTCTCTGAAAACACTGAAGTAACTTTAGTCTCTGTGCTTTCTGGTGTCTAAGCAAGCCTGTCTTAATTTTTGTATTTCCCATTGATAGGCTGGTTTGGAGATAGTAAATGTGAAGCCACGATAGTATTTAGGGCCACTTCATTTAGGGATCACTTTAAAGCAAGTTTTACCTGTATACATCAAAGACGCCAGGTAACAAATTCTACTGTACTCCATCGGCAAAATGCTGAGGATCTCGGTCAGAAACTAGCTGACACAGTGGATAAAATAGCTCACAATTTCAGTTCCACAGCAAAAAGAAGAGGGAGAAAAACCCAAAGTAGGCATTTGCTGTTTTCAGACACTTGCACTGCATTAATTAATGAGCTTGCGTCTCACACAGCAGAACATAAACATTGCTTGCGAGTTTATTTGCACGTAACACCTCTAAGAGTATAGCATCTACACTTTCCATATATTTACAAATTCAACAGAATATCTACATAGAGAAAGCTTTACTTAAAATTAAACTTGATGCAAGTTATGAGAAACCAATTTATTGGCAAGTGAATTTGAGCATTCCTTCAACCATAGGTTGTCATAGATTTTTATATTGGAGGTAAGTCATTTCATACACACCGTTTATGACTATGGTAGGATAAATGTGTTTATTCTTTAGACTGCAGCTGTAATCTCTTTGACTGCTGGCCTAATTAAGCGCTTGCCAGATTGTGCAGATTCTGGAGTGTGCCTGTTGCAGTTTGCACATACATTGTTGGATGCTGCAGAGTTTGGAAGCTCATACAGGTATACTGGTATCTCTGTTCACATGCTGTTGTGTGTTTTTAGCTCTAGAATCATGTGTTTTTCCATCCATTTCCAACTGTACATTTTTCTTTCTCAATAATAGCTTGTTTGGCTAGAAACAACAAAAGACCACAGGCCCATCACGTTCTCCAGCTGATGACAAAGCTTTCTTGGCTTTTGATATTTATAGGGGAAAGTCCCTTCAAATGACTTGTTTTTACTTTCCAAGCTTTCCAGCATTTCAGTTCTCATTGTCAATGCCTTTTTAAAGTTCCTCCCTACCAACAGCAGTCGCCCAGGATGGAGCTGCTCAGATTGACCAATCTAGAGTGCAGGCGTCAGGAGACGCTGAGGGTCTGAAGGCACTGCACGTGGCTTGCCCTGCATTTTCTAGACTAAGATCTGAAATCTAACATGAGAGTTTTGTCTTCATTTCTTTCAGTATGGCACAAATGCCAGAAGGGATCACAAAATGTCATGTTTATGTCCCCCCCAAACGACTAGACACAGAGCGTGTAAGAAGTGGGACACTGCCACTGTAACCTGGAAGGTTAAGAACCCTAGGAAGTAACAGGAGCAAAGAACAGGTAACGGAGCCTTGGTGAGCATTAGCAGATGTGTCTGTCATAATTAATTCACGTAGCAAGTATATACTGTACACACTGTTCCTAACAGTCTCCCGAAAAGACTAACAACAGCTAGACATAGTCACGAGTTTCACAACAATGCCCACAGAGACATTGGAGCTCTAGAGAACGCTACAGGAACACTCTCCACAACAACAACGGAATTCATATTTAGGGTTCAGCTGAGGATAGTGTCACTAAGTACCTGACCATGTCGCCAGCACATCCGCGGGGTGTCCTCTGTGCGGTATGTTGCATGCAGCTGATTGAGCTGTATCCCACACGGGGAATGATGTGAGCTGTGGATGGTGTTGGATTGTTTTTTAATCAGTTCCAAGGAAATCGAGAAAAACCCACTCTGAACAACGAAAAGTATGCACGTTGCACCCCAGTTCACATTATCACGTGACTGGGTTGTGTTCTTGCTTTGCTCTCATAATACTCACAGACAGCAGAAAACATCCTTTCTACCCACAAGTCCATAGGCTGAGAGGGGTGAGAGGAGCTCAGGAAAGACAGTCCAGAGAAATGGGACACTGCCGTAGAGCGTAAAGACTTAAACAAAGGAGTTCATGGCGTTGACAGGTGAAGGGGCCTCTGAGCTCTCGTTTCCCTCGGCTGGTTCTTTCTCTTTCTTACCACTGTATTGTCCAATAAAGGAGCCATCCTCATTGAACTGGCCATTCACCCCCTCTCCGTAGTCCACCAGGCTGTCGTCACTATCTTCTTTTTTCACAGTCCTGTCTGAAGGTGTTCGGCTTCCTTTCTTCAAAGGCTTGTGATCTTCTGCATCGCTGGAAAACAGAAAACATTTTGGTAAGCCTGGCATTGAGGCAAAGCGCCTTGTTTTTACAGATCGCGCATGCAAAGTATGAAAAAGCATGTGGAGTCCTGAGCTGCTGTGGCCAAATCTAACTGCCGGGTGGACTCCAGAGGCGAAGGCGTACTGAGATGGAGATCAGGCACAGAAATGGTTGAATCATGGTTTGCAGCACAGCAGATGGCCTTTTCGATTGTGGGTGCTAATTTAAATGAGAGATTCCGATGCCTGATTGGAAGGCAATCCAGGCGCAATCACAAGCATTAAAAGGGGGAGGTTTAAGGATAACAGAGACCCATCACTGTTTCAGTTCAGAGGAGCAGGGCAGAGCTCAGGACAGTGGCCAGTTAGTGTGTTAAACTGTAGAACATCTGTGATTCCTTGGATGCGAATGGAACATGATTCTGGTTACATGGGAAACATGATTGTTTTTCCTAAGCCAGAAGGAGAAGCAAAATCCTGCAGTTCAAATAATTTTGTTATTGAGTGCAGGCCAGATTCGTGAACTTCCGCCTTACCTTTCAAAAGACCTAGAAATCCATTAAAAGGAGGCAGAGGAAACAAATGAGAACAGCCTAAGAAGAAAAGCACAATCCTTATATGGATAGGTCACAATATTTTCTTTTCTGAAGAATGTGGTCAATGGGTAAAGATTTATTAATTTGGAAAGATAAACAATGTAACTTAAAAGCACTATATTTGAATCATAAGCAGCATGTTCCCAAACCCTAAAGGGAGCGAGTACTTCCAAACTCACAAAAGCAAGTATGTCCTATCTTCTGATTAACCAGTTTCTCACATCTCCTCTGTGAAATGCATACACTAGGGGGTTCAAGGCTTGTACTTCAGCAAAGCATTATGGGAGCCTATTATTATTTTGCTTATTTCTTTGCTGAACCCTTGAGCATAACTTCTGAAAGCAAAAGACTGTTTATTGTGTTGAAGATTGTCCATAAACATGGCCACATATGTCACTGAATTTAAGATCATTTACTAATAGGGTCATATATATAGGTCCAGTGACTGACTCCTTAACAGGTAACATTTAGTAAAAAATAGCCAAAAACTGTGTGAAATCAGTTGCTACTTGTCTAAGAGCCCTATGTACTTGATGGACAAAGGGGTCACTGTAACTTCAGTGTTTTAACAAAAACTGGTGCTAAGATCATTGCTAGCAAGACTTATTTTTTTTCCTAGTCAAGCTCCAGATTTAAAGAAAAACAAGTCGGCGTCCTTTGGCAATACCTTCTGTTAGCAATCTCTTATTTTTATTTTCAAGAAAAATACATCAGACTTTCATGTGCTGTCAAAAATGACCTGTTCAGCTAATACACAAGTACACATTGCCATCTGAACAATCTGCACAACTTGGTGACATCAGAGATCATTGAGGTGGCCTACTGAGGGGAGCATTTCAGAGGACATAACACCCACAAAAGCCAACTTAGTATAAAAGCAGCTTACATGACATCTTTGAAATTTGGCTGTGAACTTCTGTACTTTGCTTGAATGCCTCTAATGGGTATGCCCCTGAAGAGTTCAATGATAAGCAGCATTTTGCCACCTGAGTTCCACTTATTACTCTACTTAGTAGAAATAATAGGAATACATTATAGGAAGAAGCTCATTATGTCCTTTTTTTGAATCAGTCTTCCCTTCATCTAACATTTACTAAGTACCTACTCTAAGGCAGATGACATTCTGGCTCTGGGGATATAGAAACAAGCAACACAGACTAAAATGCTGACCTTATAACCAGTGGGGTAAAGTGCAGTTAAAAACCAGCATGGTAAGGAAAATTCATTATACCAAATGATCAGTAATGCAGAGAATCTAGAGTTGAGTAAAGAGACAGAAGGAGCTAGGGAAGAGGAGGCGGGGCTGACAGAAGCTATCCAGGGAAGGTCTTGTTCAAAAGCACCATCGGATCAAGGATCTAAGAGCTAGGTTGGCCATGTGGATGACTAGAGCAAGATCAGTTATAGCAAAAGCATCAAGCAGCACAGATGATCTGTGGCAGGGCAAGCCTAGAATGTTCTAGAAACAGCAAGGCTCTTGCTGAGGCTGGAATTGAATGAGTGAGTGAGAAAGAGAGTAGATGGAGCTGGGAGGTGTAGGCCAGGGTTCCACGGACACTGACAAGCCTCTGGTTAAGAGATGGAGGCCCTGGGAATGTTTCCATGGGTGAGAACCACAGTCTGACCCCTATTACTCCAAAAGCATGAACTCTGTCATCCAATGTTGACAGTCTGCCCTTGAGAGGAGGGGTTGAGAACTCCTACAAACTGGAGCCACACCCACTTGTGACTTATTTATTGCTGATGCTCATGGCTCCCTTTCTGCTACATCAGTAGAATTGCAGAGTTCCAGCTAAGACTATGTGGGCTACAAAGTCTAGAACATTGGCCAGGGGCTCTTTAAAAGGGTGTGTCTGCAAAGCTCTACAGTAGAGTCGGGAGATTGTTTCTATCCTCCAGGAGGGAGATGGCTCTTGCCTGGACCAGGGTGGAAGGTTGAAGATGTTTATACAGAGTGCTCAGATTGTAGTCGTATTTTGGAAATAAGGGAAAGGAGGACTTCCTGATGGATTGGTTAGGGGGCAACAGGGAAGATGATAGCACAAGGATGTCTGGAAGAAACGAGAAGCTTGGCATTACTCCCATTCACTGTGTCGTAGAGCATGCTCAGAAAAGATCCAAAGTTTGACTTGCACTTGTTAAAGTTTGTCCATGTCAGAAGCACCACTCTGTACTAATGTTAATGGACTTTTATGACAATGATATGTAAAACCAACAAAAATGCCACAAAAAAGTCAAGCTATAGGCAGATGCAACTCATGAACTTCGACAAGAAGACCTGAACTTATAACAAGTCAAATGTAGCCAACCACTGAAGAGATAAAATAGCATATCCAAGTTTGATCAAGTTTAGGAATGCAAGTTTGACTTAGAGTGAAAATACGATTTATGAAATTTACCATTTTTACTTTTGTAGAAAGAAAGTAAAACCATTATCATCACAGTAGATTTAGGCAAAAGTATATGACAGAGTTCAACACTCTGAAGTTCAACACATGAAGAAAACTTTAATACCCTAGAAAGGGAAGTGTTTCTATTAATCTGGTTAAGGATGCCTATATGAAAACTATAGTGAACAGAATCCTTGATGGCCATTGCTAAACTGTTCTGCGTAGAATCACAAATAATGGTAAGGATGGTCTTGTCTCCTCTTCCTTCTCTTCCTCTTCCTTTTTCTCATCCTCTCCCTCCTTTATGTTGTTGGAGACAGGGTCCTATGTAGCCCAGGCTAGCCTAACACTCTCAACTTTGCTATGTAGCTGAAGATGACCTTGAACTTCTAATATTCCTGGCTTTGCTGCCCAAGTGCTAGGAATACAGACATGGGCTACCACATTTGGCTGTTTTCAGCACTACTAATAAAAATTACCCAGGAGTATCAAGCAACATGATGAGAAAAAGCAATGACACTTTTCACACACTTGTCAAGTTGTTGGGAGTTCTCTATATCCGTCACTAGATTACAAACTGCCAATGAGGGGCCAAATTCTATTGTGCTCCATTTTTCTAAGGTCTATAGTACGCACTCTAGAAACATCCATTATTTAATTTATGTTAATTAATCCATTTAAACTTACATTAAAATTACAATAGAAGAGACCAAGAATATTTCAGATATGCTTTAGAATTCTAACATTAAATTTTTCATTCCTTCTTAATGTTATAGTAGCAGACAAAGCATTGACTTATATTTTTCATTCTTTCATACTGAGAATCCATTTTAGGGAGTTCATTCATTTCTTTCCCCCTTGGTTCACATCCACGAAATGTTTACCAAAATAAAAACCAGCAACCATAAATAAGTCTAATAATTCCACATGATTTTCTTGCAGCAACCATCCTACTGGGATCAAATTACACAACAGTGTTATTGACATCCATGCATTCAAACTTTGTGCTGGCACACTTTCAAAGTTCAGCATTATTTTCTTACATCCAGTTCATATTTGTGAGCACAATAAGGTTGAAGTATGTAACAAACAAAACAGCATGGCTTGTATCAGCCAGGCTTAGAGAAAGAGTTAGCAAGCTGGCAACAGGGCTGTGGTCACAAGAATGACAAGATTCCATAGCAAAGTCCTCCATTTGGGCAGTAAATCACACAGCACAGGCATATGTGGTTTACAGCCTAGGCTCACTCTTGTTTCTAAAGAGAATGCATCTAAAGAATAAGGAAATACTTACATAGTTGGCTGCACTGTTTCTTTGATTTTTCTATATGCTAGTAAGGATGCAGATCCTACTGTCTGTATAATTAAAGAGACAAACAAAGAAAGCTGGAGGCTTCTGAGAGAGAGTAGCTGCTTAGGGATGGGTGTTGGAGTGAGGGTATGGGGATACAGTATATGGGAAAACCAGATTTGGCCATTGTGGGAGTTCCATCCCTCTTTGCACTATAACATTTTCTCTGGTTTGGAGCCAACCAGGTAGAATTGTTCCATCCTCAAGCTAGAGAATGCGTGAAACACAAATGGAATCAATTTACATTTTGACAATAGTACTAATTGTGTGTCAGCACGAGACTAGCATTGTAGTTCTTTTTCAGAATACTGGAGACTAAGATTCAGTAAGAAATACAGAGCTCAAAACTCCTAGCAGGTGCAAAGTAGAGAAAGGACCCCGGTGATTTAGGGAAAAGAATAACACTCAAATGTACCATTACAACAAATAATTCTCCATAAATAGTTGGAACCGTTTTCATTAATTATGACTCTCAAATTGAAAGGACCTAAATGGAAGGAACCAAAGGGAATAAACCTGAGGAAGTATCTGAATGCCTAAGGCCAAGGCCACATCGGCAACAATGGCCTGGAATCTGGGAGATGCAATTTCATATGAATGATTCACAAACTCGAAAAATTCATTCAAAATCACACCTCCGAGTTGTGCTTTGAGTTGAAGACATCCATCAGAACTTTATTTCCTTTGGCTACTCCAGGATTAATGTCATTACATGAGCGACAACGGTCGCTGTCTTCATGTCTATTGGACTTCCATTCAATAGGCCCAAATGGAAAGTCTATATCCTGAGAAACTTTGGCAGAAGCCAAAGACAGCCATCTGAAAACGCTTCACAGACACAGCACACGTATGAATTAATGCTGAGACAAAGAAATGAGAGCCGGTAGATGTAAACCAAGTCATGACTATGAAGATATGAGCCAGACACTTGCTATGTACTGCTCTGAAAACAGAACCATGCTGGAAACTGTTGGCTCATTCATAGAGAGCACAGCACAAGAAAAGAAACCTCTGAAGATGTTCGGATGCTAGAAATGTTGTCTACATGATGAAAATTGAGAAGGTTATAAATTAGGTATCATAAAGGAATCAGAGGCAATGGCTAAGTTGAAAGAAAAATTAATAGCCTCTTAATTCCAAGCTAGTTCATAAGCCACAACCCTTACTTAAATCAAGGTTTAGTGAGGTTAGCATAGTCACCCAAAGTCACATTGTCCCGGATCTTGGCTTCACATCAATAGAAATATCAAACTGATATTTTGAGGGCTTTGAAATGAGCAGTACATTGCCACACTTGCTTACGCATGATAAGTATATGAATTCATCAGAATGTGAAGAATGTATGAAGTACGAAGTACAACGGCTTATTTGTAATTCATGCAAATGTAGATTTTTCTATATTAAAGATGTAGCTTCATATCAATAAACAAGGGAATGGTGTGCATAGCCTGGATGAGGTCATAGTCACATAAACTTTACAAGGATGTCCTTTAATTAGTGTCACTCACCTGTGCGTGGGAGAAACAGGTAGAAAAGTGAGTTACACCAGAGAAGATTTTACTCTCACAGAGTGAGATGCAGCTGCCAAGGGCTATGCACACTTGGGGCTGCTCTCGTGCACTATGGTAAACTGGTCATAGTGGGTGGGTGCTGTCTTAGGTTTGCAAACCCTTTGGGTTTCAGACCCAATACCTGGCATCACCAAAACCCTTGCAAGACACTGGTAGGGTATTTTAAACTACAGAAATTCTGAGAGCTTTTAGAAAGCATCGGTTCTTTCTGTTGAGAAGGGTAGCAGTGTAGGTGCTGAGACCCTTGAGGCCCAACAAGCTCACACTTGCATGGACACTGTGATGAAAACGCATACTGAAGTATATGGATTTCCTGAATCCATTTTACATTTCCTATGTTGACATTGGCTGTTGTCCCCTTATGAATAATACTGACAAGGGAATATCAAAAATGAAATGCAGAGGCAGGTAGTACCTGATGCAAATATCTATGTACAAAGGTGCCTTGGAAATCACAATAGTGAATCTTTTATTTCACCCAAAAGTATGTTCTTCTATCAAAATAGGCACAATATGAGCTTTATGTATATTTAGAAAATTACATTTTGTCATCAAAAAAACTAAGTTATAAAAGGTATCCCATAAATAGAGTTATTTCAGGGCATTAAATACAAGGTAAAACTTACTCTGTTTTTAATGATGTCTAAAGTAATCATTCCTCTCTGTGAAAGACATGGATTATCAAGGCAAGAATAGTTTTGTGTAAAGAGAATTAAAAGAAGGTAGACAGATTGTGCTAGATGTTTTTCTTAATATGGAGTTAAATTAAGATTGTCGAATTGGCAGTCATTGAGTTAATGTTTCCATGAATGGCTGTGACAGTTCTTAATAATTAACAGCTTCAAAAACAGCCTATTTTTATGGGCTAAAAGTCAGGGGGATGGGTCTTATTTAAGAAAAAGCTTTTATAAATCTGAGATTAAGCAGTCTTGGGGCCGGGTATGTAGTTCAGTAGTAGAGTGCTTGCCTAGTTCGTGCAAAGCTCTGGATTTGGTCCCCACCACACATTTACGTCCACTTTCTCTCTCCCTTGAAGCACCTACAAGACTGAGGTAGTGGGGTTATGAGTCTGGAGCCAGCCTGGCCTATGTAGTGAATCCCAGGCTAGCTTGAACTACACAATGAGATTCGGTCTCAAAACTAAAGTCAAACAGAAACAGAGGGCAGTCTTGCTAACGTTGGTTTTACAAATGCATGTTTCCCTCACACTGTAAGCTGTGCAGGATTCTTTGAGTTCTCACTGCAACACAGTGACACTCCTAGATTGAATAGAACAGCTCATGTCTCTGGAAAAGATAATATTCTGATCCTAAACATATGATGACATTGGAAATATTTTTTTTTACAAGGATGCCTATGTTTTAATGACAAGCTCTTAGTCACAATATTTTAATCAAGAATGAGGATATATTGGCATGGACTTTTTTCTAAATTAATAACTGCCAGGCAGGGCCCACTAGTCACTCAATTCTGCTCTCAGAACTGAGCGAGTGTAGTGTCTAGTGGGGCGGGGAAAGCAGGGCCAGAAGGAACAAGGGCTCACCTGTACTCTCCAAATGTTCCGTCATCTTCCTTCATGGGCTGGATTTCAGGGTCTGCATGAGCATCCTCCTTCTCTTTAACTGAAAAGTTTGAAGTGACAGCATTACCCATGGATCCTGAACTTCCTTGTTTAGTATTCGCAGGGGCGAGCTAAGATGTAGAAGAAGGATAATCTCTACATACGTAGATACCATGCAGACATGTTTCTGATGTGGCCTTGAGTAGGCTTTGATATTTACTAGATCAATGTCTATTAACACATCGAGATATTTCAGTCTTTTTCCCCAATGAAGAAATGATTTTTAAGTTTCTCGAGGTTCTTCTATATTTTCCAGTCTATTTATGAGTGTATTGATGGTAACAAACACTTTTGTAAACATGCCCTTATGTAGTGTTTTCAAAAATTAATGTTTTTAAACAGAGGATAAAATGGTCAAGTCAAGAAGCTAGGAATTTATCAACCTTGCAGGGACCATAATGCAATGTCACACTAGTTCTTATATTCTAAAAATTGTACATGCTGTTCCCTTCTTCTCCTGTAAAGTGACATTAGGTCCTACTTCAGTGTTTAGAACCTTTCGGGTCCTATGGAAACAGGCTTCCTTGGAGAACTAACTGACGCATTTCTTCATGCACCCTAGGACCCGTGATAGCCTCCACAATATAAAGAGGGGTCAAAATGGTTTGACCAAGAAATTCAAGGCATGGCCCTAGGAAGATGTGCTGTGCCTTTTCCTGTCTCCATTATTCTTCTCAGTTTAGCAGATAAATCAGCAGCATTAGAAAACATTTTGAAACCTTCTTACCTGGATATTTACCACCCTTGTTTCTTCTGACGAAGCAAACAATCAGCAAGATTAAGATGAGGAGGGCGACGGCACACATTAGACCTATGAACCAGCCCTGGGTCGCAATATCCACTTGCCGGCTTGCCATCGCTGAAAAACAAACCAATGGCATCAGTAGGAATGGGTTAATGCCAAGGTCAGTTCCATGCTGGTCTCTTCATTAAAAAACAATTGCCACAGTATATGAGCCTTGATGTACTTTTCACAGGATTCCAAATTGGAATCTGTCAATCATCATAGAGAAATTACAAACTTAACTTTGAAAAGCCTTCATTATGTAAACATTGAACTAGAGAAATCCCGATGTTAATGAGATTAGGTGCTGCCGCACCCTGATAAACACTAGATTCACACTTACTGCAGCTATACATTGTCAGTAGAACTGCATTCTCAAACCAATTAAAATCTATTATTTGGGTGTATAAAGTGGATATGATGTATGAAAGAGATATAAAATTGAATTTTAAACAAAACGGAATGCATACATCTAATGGAGTATTTTCTCTTCAAAAGAAACTATCTTGGAAGACCTAAATTTCAGTGAAAGGATGAAGCTCTTTTTTCATTGTTTGGAAATCTTTAAAAAGGGGAGAGAGAGAGG